TGTCTCAGATTAAACGAATTGTTGATATCTCGTTTATTGTTCTTATGGCATGCAAAGTCATGGGACTATTTTGGGGTGCATCCGCGTATTCGGGATAGGTAATTTAAAAGGAAGCAATTAAAATAAAAGTCTAGACTATCATATCAACTAACTAATGCACTTACCAACACGTACTACACGGGTAAATAGTCATTCTAACTTTTGGCATATCAAAATCAGTAGTTATCGATCAATATCTACTAAAATATGTTGCCATCTTTTCACGTCTTTCCTGAATTGACCATGACAGAGAGGCTAGGTTACTAGACCAAAAAGCACCTTTGTCATTATGCCATATATTACCTGTCGTGATATCAAGAACAGCATTTGTTTAAATAAACGAGGATAACCATACCAAATGATCTGATGTCGCACTGCTCGATAGTTTAACCGCATTGAATGCCTAATTAGGCTTTAAAAATCCTGGTCAATATGGTAAGGTCAACGACGTATGCCCAGAGTATAAAATGTACAAGTGAGTCTGTGTCGCTTCGCTGGTGGTTCCGTCTCGCACAATTGTCTCGCTCTAGATGCTTGCATTGCATTGTATGCAGGGAAGTCATTATTTCCTCGTGTCCGAGGCAAGGCAAGGCACGAAGAAGAATCCGACGTACGTCGCATGCATACGTCGGTATGTGTACGAATCGCCAAGAGGTTCATGTACGTAGTTGCGTGGATCATATTGTGCCGGTCTTCCAGAAGAGGTTTATATTGTGCTATGCCAAGGCTCTGTTTAGCACTGGGTCTGAACCCAATCGAGGCCAAGAAATCGTTCCATTTTTCATCTGTCTGTACTTTGTAGGTAGAATAAACACCTCAACTTAATTCCGCTAAAGATTAAGTTTAGTAAAAAGCCATGGAGTTGAATCAAATTCCGCACTCCGCGGGCAAACAGTAGTAATAGTAGGTGCCTATTCTAGTGTCTGAATCTATGGATACCCAGTATTGGTTATGCGATTTTACTCCACAACATCAACTTCGAGACCGAGTTCTCGAACAGCCAAGGATTTAATGCTATGCATCCGACATCTGCATCTGTGGAGTCATCGTCTAACTTGTCCCACTCGGGACTTCTAACCAATCCTGTGCTCCTTATTTGAGCGGACTGCTTGAAAACCCCGTCGGGCCGGTCGCACTCAATCACCGATACCAACAACGACATCATCGCCAATTTATCCTTGTTTAATGGATCGACTGATTTTGACTGACAGCCGTAAAGAAGAGCTACCTACCTAGTAACGGTATTCGAACAACTGCCGTCAACTACCGTAAATGCCCTACACACTACACAAACCTCGATCACGTCCAACCTGCTGAGCCTCAAGTTCTCAACGTTTGTCTTGGCTCTTTTTTCGAGGTTGGAAGCCGAAACCAGTCCAGCCTTACTGGTCTTAGCCGCACTACATCCATCGTCTTAGGCTCGCTGACTTTTGGGTACCTATCAGAGTATCACTATCGTCATCACCACCTTTAGATATTAACCACCGCACTTCTACCAAGTGAGACACAACCTCAGAAACAAACCATCATCTGCATCTCTGCACAGGCACGGGCCAGCTCTTGTTTTTCGCAGTAATAATCCAACCGAGGTCCGAGGCTCGAGATCCATCGTCACATTTCAGCTTTCAACCACAGAAGCAACCACCAAAATGAAGTTGGTCTCGCGCAAGGTCCCAAAGACCCTTGAAGATGAGACCGTCTCTCTTCTCCCCGAGGATCCCGAAGATATGGTCAGTAGCCCCTGTTCCTTGCTACTCTCAAACTTTACCACATATTACTATCGTCTCTATCGTTACCCCTCCCCCCACCATCATTGTCACACCCTCATCTTTCATCTCGACTCACGAGATAATCATCTACATCACTACCCTTGCAACGCATGCTTTTACCTCCAGAGGCCCTATCTATTCGGATTCGATCCATCTTCACCGCTTGTCAGAACGCTAACATTATCGATAGTGGCATGCATACAACCTCATTCTGCCTAGCGACATCATTCACGCCCATGCCATCCGTAAAGTAACTACAACTTCAAACACGGGCAGTACGGCTTCTGAGCGTGTTCACACTGAGTTAGCTATCAAAGTCAAATCCACCTTCTTTGACCCTGTCATCTCATCACTTCGTGTCTCTGGCACCGTTGTTGCAGAGAACCCATATGTCAACCTAGGCTCTCATCACACGCTTGACCTCGAGGTCAACCGCCCTTTTACTATTATCAAACCAGAAGGATGGGACTCTGTCGCAAGAGCTACCCTCCAGGAGACTCTGTCCGATGACAAGGATGGTGCCGTGGCAGCTGTAGTTATGCAAGAAGGTCTTGCCAACATCTGTCTTATCACAGCGTTCAGAACTGTCCTCAAGGTCCGAGTCGAGAGTGTGATCCCCAAAAAGCGTGATCTAGCATCCGACCAAGACGCAGGTATGCGCCGCTTCTACGAGAAGACACTGCAAACTCTTCTACGAACCATGGACTTTTCTCAGTCACGGCCGTTGTTACTGGCAAGCCCGGGCTTTGTGGCTGGCGACTTCAAGCAGTACATCGCCAACCAAGGGCGAGATAAGGCAGACAAGGTTCTCACAGCTCTAGCAAAGCAAGCCACCGTGATTCACTCCAACTCTGGACATGTTCACAGTCTTAACGAAATTCTCAAGAGCCCCGAGGTTCTGTCGAGTATGAAGAACATGAAGTTTGCTCGTGAAACCCAGTATGTCGATCAACTATTCGATAGGCTAAAGTTGGATGATGGGCGCGCATGGTACGGTACTTCTGTCGTTGAAAAGGCTGTCAACGATGGCGCAGTGGGACCTGGCGGCGGTGTTTTGCTGGTCAACAACTCGCTTTTCCGAAGTGAAGATCTTGCCACTCGCAAGAAATACGTCGCTTTGGTCGAAAAAGTCCGAAGCGATGGCGGTGAGGCAAGGATTCTTAGCAGTGATCATGAGAGTGGTCAACGCTTGAGCATGCTGGGTGATATCGCTGCTATCCTCAACTATCCTATGTTGGATCTCGACGAGGATGAAGAAGAGAGCGAGGAAGAGGAAGAGGAGAAAGATATCCAATTGCCCAGCATGGCTGACAATGTCATTTAGGGTAACCTAGAAAGAAAATAGAAATGAGATATGAATTGATGAAAATCATGTTCAGAAGTTACCCTGCACTCCTAATGTGATCTCATACCGATCTTGTAATCTTCCACCCTATAGTTGCTTCGTCCGCTGATACTTTGTGTTAATCTATACAAGCTACTACTGTTACTTTTAGTTAATTGTCTATAAGTCTTGCACATAACGATTGATTAGCATGGCATATATGATGTTATTAAAAGCCGACGTCGGTACCGAATGGAGTTCGATCATCCCCACGTCCGTGCTGAATCCCGGATGCCGAACCAAACCAATCCATGATCATCGCGATAAATTCACAATTTTGACTTAGTCTGCTTACTTTTATCAATCGAAGATACGTAACTCACCTCTTAATTCCGAAGTCCGAGATCACTTTGATTAGATTTTGTAGATATAATGTCGTGGGTTCTCATCAACCAACAGCCGTATAAGTGAATCATCATTGTAACACCTTCCCCTCACTACCGAACCCACCACCAACATCAACATCAACTCAACATCACACAGAACCCGCGTATGACCTTCAGAATGACTTCCAAACTGGCCCTCAGCTCTACCAAGAAGCTCAATTCAGGTTACCAGATTCCTCTTCTTGGCTATGGAGTAAGTTATCCACTCTATCCCTCATCCCAAAGCTATCCTAACACTAGTGCCTAGGTCTACCAGGTGTAAGTCCGCGTAATGCTTCAACAAAACCATGCACTGATCACGTAATACAGTCCGAAGGACCAGGCATCCGAAGTCTGCAAGAAAGCTCTCGAGATAGGCTACCGCCATGTAGGAATTCTCAAATCTAATCTCAATGCGGTCTTGACTGACACTCTCAGATCGACTCTGCATCAGGATATTACAACCAAGGCCCTAGCGCAGCAGGAATCCAAGCAGCTGGCCTTCGACGTTCAGAAGTCTTCTTCACAACAAAGATTTTCACCAGGCAGTTTCCTCTGAACTACGAGAATGCCCACAAGCAGGTAGACATTGCTCTTGACGAGACGAAGCTCGATTACCTTGATCTTGTCCTCATCCATGCCCCATACGGTGGATCTGATGCCCGAAAGGGTGCCTGGAAAGCCCTTGTAGAGTGCGTCGAGGCCGGAAAGGTACGCTCACTGGGCGTTTCCAACTACGGAGTTCACCACCTGGACGAGCTGGAGGCCTACATAAAGGAGCTCGAGACAGAACGTGGAGGAGCGGGCAAGGGAGGTGTCATCTCTGTCGGACAATGGGAGGTACACCCATGGATGACACGACCCGATATTTTCAAGTGGTGTCAAGATCGTAACATCGTAGTTGAAGCGTACTGTCCCATTGTGCGTGGCGATCGTTTTGACGATCCCAAGGTCAAGGGTCTTGCAGACAAGTATGGCAAGTCACCCGCGCAGGTTCTGCTTCGATGGAGCTTGCAGAGGGGATATGTACCTCTGGTGAAGAGTGTCACGCCTTCGAGGATTCTGGAGAATACTCAGCTGTACGACTTTGAGCTGACGGAGGAAGAAGTGGAAGATTTGGCTACCACAGACTACAGTCCTTGTGCTTGGGACCCAACTGTCGAGCCTCTTGAGAAGTAAAGCCAATTGGCCTAACATGAGTAATTCATAATACAAGGATTATTTCTGCATGAGATAATAGACTCAATTGAATCTCTCACCAACTTGTTGACGTTATCAGAAGTAGTCATTTGACTGTTATTGTTGACGGAACCCACGTGATCTCGTTTCTACTTCGCGTCAGTCCATTCCCCGCGCGTCTGTTACCCATCGACCACCACCGTCAATCCCTCATCACCCTGGTCCATCGCGCAAATTTGGCCAGATGTCGTCTCCAAGGCCAAAATGGTCCAAAGAACCTTTACGCTCATCCCGAAATTCCCGGGTCGCGATGAAACTACCGACAAACCGCCACCGCGGCCCATGACGTCGAAACAAGTTCGGAATGCATACAAAGCCGCAAACAAGGGACCGAAGCTCACTCGAGCTGAGCAATGGAAACAAGAGAAAGTTGAACAGGAGAGGATAAGAAAGGAATTCGAACGTGAAAAGGCGGCAGCCAAGGCTAAAGTCGTACGGGACAAGAAGAAGGAGAAGGAATTGGCCGAGAAGGAAGAAAAGCGGAAGAAGAGAATGCCACTTGTCAATGTTCGACCGAGCCAAGAGACTATTTCGTGGTTTGTGAGAGGTAATGGGTCTACCAAAAAGAGGGATATTCAGGGAAAGGAAGTCGAGAAGATTAATGCGACGACGAAAGAGACCAATGATAACATGGAAGAAACTACGAGCGCAAACGATGATGAAACGGAACAACCTGCTATGAAGACACGGAAGTTGGATGATATACTGGAAGACTATGAGGAGGTGTCCGATACTGGAGATACCAGGATGAGAACAAAAACCCAAGAACTACCACCGAGTCCCTCCTCAGAACAACAAAGAATCGAAGAGCCTTTAAAAGAAACAAAGGAAGACGACGCCACCGAACCTGTAGAGGAGGCGCCACTACAAGCTGAGACTCAAATGCCAGTACCGAGGTTACTAATACCAGAAATCGAGCTTGAAGGCATGGAAGACGAGTTGGACGAGGATTTTGAGGAGGACCTGGCACTTGGTATGCTGGAAGACATCGAAGCAGCCATGGACAAGCCAGCCCCTAATACAAGCCATGCTATCGATGCTATCCCAAGATGCTCTATCAAAACAAACTCGGCAGTAACGCAGCCGCCAGTTGATACCATCAAAAAGCCAGCATCCGATCGCTACGCCAAGGATCTGGGCTTACACCGTCCGTCTTCCCCAACTTTCATCAAACCGCCTCTTCCCCAGCGTTCACCACGAAACTTGGAAGCACGGTCTTCATCACCACCAAGACAAGAACCGCCAATGAGTACTCAAGCCATCCTGTACAATTTGGACGACTTCTTCCCCTCTTCCTCTCAACAAGCACGCGAACTCGAGGAAGACCTGGACGACGACGATAGCTCGATGCCATCGGCGCCCTTATATCTTGCGCCGATAGCAGAAGAGGAAGAAGAGTTTGAGTTTGAGGAACTTGAAAAATCTCCAGAACAACTTCGCTTACCGGTACTCAACCCGGCCCCTGAATCACCACCTCCGCCACCTAGGCGCTTCTTCACATCCTCTGGATCTCATGAAAGAATGTGTCTTGCTCTCCAGCGAAGTCGCCGTACAGCAGCATTGGAACAGATTCAACAGCGTGAAAGAACGCGAATACGGGCTGGTATAGTTCAGCGTGCTCAAACCGAGAATCGCCAAGTCGTCAAAACCGACCAATCTGCCAAAAAGCCACAAGTTTTTGCCAAGCCCTCACCACAACATATTCAACACAATCAGCCTCGACAACCCCCCCCAAAAACACCAGCACCGCCTGTACTTCAACAGAAACCTCACATCAACAAACCCTCTCCACCAAAGCGTACGGAAACGCCAAAGCAACACTACCAACAGCTCCATAGAACATCACTCGCACCACATAACAACAACGTGAACACTCCCAAGCGAGTTGAACCACCGAAACAAACGCCCCCTGCACGGCAGCCATCACAAGAAACCAAGGAGAACCAGAGGCCGTCACAAGAGCCTTTTGCGCTTAGTGCTTCGCAAGAGTCATACGGCGGAGATTGGGTAGACGACATTGCGCTAGAACTCATGATTTAACGACACGTCTTGGATGATCAGTATCGATATCAGAAGAAATGGGAAGGACAAGAGTATGATATGGGATGACGGTCATGGTGCGGGATGCTACATGATTTTTTTTTTGGCGTTTAGGACAACAGAAGGGAGGATTACTTCGTTATTTGGCATATCACCCTTTTGCTTGGGTGCGGGTGGCAAACATGTTTTTAATGTCACATAGCGACGGAGTTTCGAATTTAATCGTTGATTGATAAGTGATATCTCAACCGTCTGATTAGCTATTCTATTCATGACCATTTTACTGTCTATCAACAGTTAAAGCACGAAGTTTCACCACCAATGTTGTACAGGGAAGTCTAATTCTGCTAGTAATTAGATTTGGAAAGAGGAGGAAGGGGAAAAAGAAGTGATTGATGGTATACTGTCCCAAACGCCAATGCTATGCTTAATAGTGTCTCTTTTGTCATTCATGACTTCGTTGCCCCAAATCCGCCAACCCGAAAGGAGAAAATCAGCATCGACTGATCAAAGGAAAATCCCGACCCACTCTGTCTTTGCAGACACCTTTGTATCGCAGTCATTTACAGCACATCGGAGATCGTTTCCCACGAGATGTGGTGGCCTTGCATCTGGAGATCGGAAGCCCACACCGTCGCGATTCGTCTTTGTAGGCTTCCTGTTTTCGAAGCAATCGGCACAATAAACCTATGATCTTGTTAGTTACGGTTAAAAAGGTGACTAGGTAGGTAGCTAGGCAGCTTACATGGCCGCATTTCTTCAAAGCCCAAAAATGGTGCTCTCCGGGGGCGCGCTTGCGCTTTCCTTTTGCAGTACCAACTGAGCTCTGTGTGACAGAGCCCGTAGGGTCGTAGGCCAGTTCCTCGTCACATGCTGGGCAAATAACGACGCTTTCTGACTCCTTCTCGGGATCGGTGCAGGTATTTCGGGTGAAGCCTTCTTGGGCTGGCGGAGGCGTAGACATGCGTGGTTTGGGGCTCGGCTGGCGAGCATATGCATTACGTGAAATGTCGAGATGGGGCGGGTTGAATACAGCAGTGATGTCAATGTCGGTACCAATGACCAGTCCTCGAAACGACCCAAATGCAAAGCTCGATCCCGCAGACAGAGCTGGTCGTTGTCGTTGGCTTATTATTTCAACCTCAATCAGATCATCTGGTCTCGGAATCATGCGTCCAGCATGTGGATAATGCCGGGAAGGTCGCTGTTCTTCGGGAGAGTCTACAGTAAGATCAATTACGTTTGCCGATCGACCAACAAATGTCCCATCCGTTCTTGCCAGTTGAGGGGGCGATATACGTTGTGAATTCGTTCGGCGTGGATTCCTTGCACTCTGTGCTGGCAGGCCCCTCAGCCGTGATATGTCTGGAGAATCAGGCTCTTCCGTAAGGTCGATGACGGGTGCTGGCTGAGCTGGCTCCGGGGCTAGTATGTTGCGCAGATGGGGATCGGGATGTAGTTGAGGTTGAGGAGCACGGCTTCGGCGAACTCTGACCGGGCGACCCGCCTGTTCGATTGTGTGTCCTAGGCTTGGGCGAGGGATTTGGCGTGGGCGTAGGCGTGGAGCGAATGTTGCAGGAGGTGCCGAAGGGCTGGGAAGAAATAGAGACGGTTCAGGGTTGTTTTGAGGCACTTGCGAGGCAAACCCGAGCCCGAGCTCTATCAACTGGTGATCCTCCAGCATCTCGAGGAAGTCATCGCTGTTTTCGGCCATGTTGTTGGAGGATGGAGGAGGATTTCGTATGGGATATTTCGAAGTTTGTCGAGTTTTGATGTGCGGTGAATGGCCCACTATGTTGAATTCACAGAACATGCGCGTGATAAGTAGTTGAGTGCACAGTGTATCGTGAGCAAAGTGCGGCGCGAAATGTGAAGCAAATGAGGAGCAGTGGCGATTAGCTCAAGGGTTGAGTCGTCCCGGTGCCCTATTCTGGCAGGTTCAGAATGTATCATCTGTGGTATAAATTCATGTGCAAACTATTCGTAAGCATCTGTATTGTATTGAGAAGAGGCGTTTAAAAGGAGCCCGGGGCGATAAGTCGGTAAGCATCAAGTTGAATGGGCTGTGAGTAGAAAGAAAGTTGAAATTGAATTGTCGCTCGTTTGACACTCGATGCAAGGCTCGTCCAGGTCCATGTGACGAAACCTAGCGATAAGCTTAGTACCTATCTAGCGCGCAGCGACCCTGCAGCCTATGCTGACAATGATTACCCCACTAGGGACCGCTAACAACAGGCGTCAAGGTTGCCGTACAGGGGGATACATGATGGACGGGCGCCCTCAGGGTATGAGAAAAATTGACCGCTGGAAGCATAAGAGACGAAATTAGTAGGTCACTTTATGCTCCTTACAGTATAGTTGTTAGACTGCTTATTTTTATACTCCAAGACTTAGGAGGCCATTTTTTTCTGCTACCCACTAGGGGCGCCTACCTGAGCTCCACTATGGGCTTTCATTCATGTTTTGAGGCTGAAATTCTGAACTGCGTTTATTTATTGACTTCAAATTTAGAAAGTAAACAATGATGCTAAATAAACAAAATCCTTAATTATCAATTTTCAAACACCTTCTGTGCTTTGCTTTGACCCATTGTCGCAGGCCTTTATAAATACAGGAATTCCAGGGAATCATCCAGCCATCTCCTTTCAGTGCATAGTTTCGTCTAAATCCACCATTGTCTATTCCTTTGTACCAAGTATGCTGACCACACCCTCTCCGTTAATTGTCACTAGCTGCTTCGCAGACTCTCCCCATCGAACCGAGACGGAAGGTGTGGAGCTCTTCACGGGCTCGCTCCACTTCTTGGTAGACTTGGTGAATTGTTGCACAGTCACTCCAGCAGCGCCGCCGGTGGCAAGGAACTGACCGCTGTAGTCCCAGGCCAGAGACTGCACCGGTCCGCCGGTCTCGAGAACCTTGGCGACGGCGGCGTCTCCTTCCTTTCGTAGATCGAAGATGGTGACCATAGTTTGTCCCTTAGCTATAGCAGCGAACCAGTAGCCGTTCTCAGAGAAACTGAGAGCCTGGATAGGGGCACCAAGGCTGAAGGAAGCAGCCTGCTCGAGGGTGTTGGTCATGAAGAGCTTAATCTCACCAGAAGTGGTACCAGCAGCAAAGAGGTGACCATCGGGGTGGAATGCGCAAGCGGTAAGAGCTGGAATCATGTTAGCAAACACTCAATGTGCCAGGGGTTATGCAACTTACTGGCATCAGTGTAAGCACGGGCAGCGCGCTTCTGTGCAACCAAGTCGTAAAAGACGATGCTCTTATCCGTACCGACGGAAGCCAGAATCTCACCGCTGGGGTGAAGGCTTAATGCGGTAGCAGCACCGGCATGCTCGCTCAGCGAAGCAACCTGGTTACCCTCCTCGAAGACCTTGACGCTTCCTTGGCCAGTCGCAAAGATAACACGGGTCTCGGCCCAGGCAGCATCTGTAATGGGTTCCTCCACGGAGATTGATAGCTCGACCTTGTCCTCAGTAGTAGAGTAGATAACGGCCTGGCCCTTCAAGCCTCCGATGGCTGCGTTAACTCCTCCTACGCTGAGAGCTGTAGCATCAGGAACGGGGAGTGAGTGGGTAGCCGCGCTCTCGAAAGCTGAGATCTCTTCGCCGGTGGCCCAGCCCTCAGGGACAGGGCGCTTCTTGCGACCCTTTGATAGTCTGAATCCAATGTTAGCTTTCTGCAGTGTCTTCGTATTTGTCGACTTATCACATACGTCTGATGAGTCTCATCCACCTTCTCGATTAGTTCTTGTGGCAGCTTCTCCACACTGTCAACCTGCATCTGATCACCATCAACGGCACCTCCAGTCACAGTGACCTTGCTCAGAGCATCTCTGGCCTCGTCTCGCTCCCTCGTAAGTCGTGCAACAACTCGCACGGCGGCATCATGTTGGTACAGTGCTGTAGCAAGCTCCTCCCTGGTGCGTGCGAGCTGCTCCTTGAGGTTGTATGTCTCGAGGGCGAGCGCGTCCCATTCGTTCTGGAAGGTCGCGAGGAGGGCTGGGATGGATGTGAGGGTAGGAGGACGCGGTCGGACAATACGCGACGAATGGATAGGGAGGAGATCCTCGGCGGTCAGGGCCTCTCCAGAATCGGGCTCTGTGGCATGTTCATTGATGTATTGCTCGATAAGGCGCTTCTCGTAGACAACACCTGCGACAGGTTAGTTGCCGTGTTGATGTTATTGATGATACAACATACCGGACTTCTTAGACACGACGGGCTCTTGAGGAGCCTCTCCAGAAACTGTCAAGATATTAGCGCGCTGTTAGCTTCTGATGGCGAGCGTGGGCAACATACTTCCACAAAGCATGGCGACTGCGATTTTGAGCTCGTGGAGCTTTCAATTGCTTGTCGTCAGGTAAAGCGCAATCCGTCGTCTCGAAGCTCTGTTGCGACGACAATCGCCTAGTCGAGATTTTGCCGGTGCACTGACCAGAGCTTTTGGAATCACGGGATGATAAGATAAGAACATGTTCGTCATATCCGTATCTTATCAGCCATCATCTTCATGCATGTCTTGACCCGGGGAGGACCGGTAATAGTAGTTTCGCATGTCTCCGGAATCCGATATAAAGTGGTGTAGTGTCGATAATGATATTTCGGTGATGATCTACCTGGTACATGTCTATTTAAATTATAAGTGAACATCTGGTGATAATTGGCTGTTAACCCACCAACTTCAATACCCATCATGGATCTCCTACCACCCAACGAGCTTCGTATAGCAGACGAGGCCGAACAAATCAAGACTTTAGACCTCCTGTTCGAACCGAGTCCGGCAATTCACTCAACTCTCATTCCAGTCCTGAGAGATTCAGAGTACACATCTTACCCCGAACTCATTGACGCCTGCAGATCCCGTCTTGTCTCGCTCGCAGCCTCCAGCTCTCCAACCAACCCAGATAAGACTCTTCTCTCCATCCTCGGATCTCACCCTCGCTTAGGAGCCAAAAAGGTCGAATCTGCACAGTCAGCAGCAGAGCAGACCAACTTGCAAGGTCAGGGCGAGGAGTTGAATAGACTGAATCAAGAATATGAGAAAAAGTTCCCAGGACTGCGTTACGTCGTCTTTGTGAATGGGCGAGGAAGACCGGAGATCATGGAGAACATGAAGTTCAGAATCTCAAGAGGTGACTTTTCCAAGGAGACTGATGAGGCGTTGCAGGTATGAATGATTCGCGCATTGGGTTTCTCTTACTGACTTCTTATGTCAGGCAATGTGCGATATTGCAAAAGATAGAGCCTCGAAGCTGGATGCAAAGCTGTAAATGCAGCCAGTACTATCATCAACAATCTGCTTCCTACTGATGGTCTTTTAATTTTAAGCCTTTAACAGTCGACTCTGGTAATGCAAGTCAGTCATGATGTGTTTTATAATGCTCCGGGCCTAAAAGCTGGAGAGCGCTTCTAATGTCGCTATGTGTAAATGTGAATAAGAACAACTCGCCGCCCGATGCCATACTTGTTAAGATTACATATTCCTGTTATATGATTTCAGAAGTAAATCTGATAAATGGCGCCACTACCTAGACATCCAGCATATGCCGTCAAGTTCATCTAAATATTCCTCGTACGATCTGTCGTCTTCTTCGTTACCATTTTCGCCATTCTGCCCAAACACAACGCTAAAGTCAGAGTATACACTGTCCTGATCGTCACCGATGTCATCCCAGTCATCATCTGCCGGGTGCATATATGCGAAACTGTCTTCCTCGAGGTCATCCAGCGGAGGTAAATGTACTGTTGGTCGCAGCTCTGGAGACCGGATGGGAAAGAGTCGTGGTGATGTGCGCTTCTTGGTCGCGGCTACGTCACCGACTGGAAGAGGCAGTGCTGCTGGTTTTGATAGTCGGCATGATGTGGGTTTGGAATGCTGGAACGGCTTGAGAGCTTGTTGGTTCGGTTGTGGATTCGTCGATGAGATGAAACTTTGGGGCCCAGCAAGTCCGGTGCCTGTCGGAGCGATCCTGAGGGATCTGCTCGACGCCGAATCTTGTAGTATCGGAGGTTTCAAGCTAGATTTGTTTGTAACTCTCGATGTTATAGCCGCGATTTCCTGCTCGTGCTTCCGTGCTGGCTGTCCTTGGCTTAGCCTCTGCCTTAGACAATTCATCACAGAGAAGCGTAGAAAGGATGTTGCGTGAAGATGTGCGATCCTTCGTGTCAAGTCTACCGAGGTGGCCATCTTCAAGAACCGTTTGTCACCGGCCTCTTGGCCCTCTCTGTTCAGGATGTGCGTTGCGGGTTGTGAATATGGCTGTGAAAGGCGGCTAGTGATAAGATCGGCACGAAGTCGACGCTTTTTGACACTTAGATCGCCTGTGTTGAAGCCATCAACGTCGGATGCACATCGTCGTCTTTTAATTCCTTGGGAAACTGTTGATGTCGGTCGAATTTGAATACTGAGAGGGCCGAATATCGTATTTGTTTCGCCTGAAGAAGGAAATGAGAAGCCCGTTGAGGTTTCAGGCCTCAACTGGGATGCCCACGTCTTGGACCCTGTTATCTTCTTCGTCTGAGCAGCACCACTACTCCCTAACTTGTTGGTGGTACGATGTGCTGCGTCTCCCATTAATACCTCGAATAGAGGATCCGGACCAGGACAACGGGGTACTTGATTCAAGTCATCGGATGAGAGATCGAGCGGAGAGATAGGAAGGTCATCATGGCAACCGCCTTTGGCATGGCAGCGCCACGGCTCAAGCAAATTGATTGAGCTCTGTGTATTTGCCTCTACCTCCATTACCACACCTCTCGCTTCGTCTGATGGAGAGGAGAAAGCTCCAGTTGCTGTCAAAGTTGCGTCGTTCTATCCATCCGCCTGAACCAATCTGCCTGTGTACAGTTCCACGTCGATGGGAGAAGAGTCGAGTGTCTGGTTGAGAATAATGGACTTGTACTTATAAGAGTCCAGAGTTGAGATTTCGAACCAGTTGATCAAGAATGCTCTGAGTTGGTAATAATATCTCCAAGTACCTAGGTAGATGTGATACGTAATGCCTGTTGTAAGTTCAACCGAACTAGCAACTCGCTCGACCACAACTTGGCAGCAGGTTCACAAGAAGCCAATGCCATTCGTTTAAATCAATTCTCATCGAGCCCCGTCTTTTGCTCAAAAAGCTCCTCCTCTCCAAGAAAAACAGAGCTTCAAAAGCTGGGAGTAACTGGCGTGATGCTTGACAAGCGAAGGTGGGGGAGGGAGGGCCTAAAGCCGCGACCGAAGCTAGGCGAGATCCCCGTCGGGAAAGAGGTAAGATGAGATGAGACAAGAGGAGAAAGTCCGTTTTTGTTTAGGCAATATCTCTAGGCATCTCATAAAAAAAAGAGAAGATAAAGAAAGTTCAATCCGATAACAAGAAAGAGAAAACCAGAATAAGAATGGCTAGTAAAGAAGAAGAGGGGAAAGGGTCCTATCGTTTTGGCCGGGAGATTCTTTCAGGTCAAGCAATAGCGTAAATCAGGTAGCGTAAATCATGACATTTCAGTTACTATGCACAGTAGTCTAGACTAGGCAGTCTAGTCTCCTGCAGCAAGGATCACGCTGAACCAATTCGATGGAAAATCCGGGGCGAAACAACCCAACTAGACTAACACGTACCTTGCACACTAGGTAAAGCATGACCATCATTCAGCAGCTACAACATGCAATGGTTTCAGTCTGTACAGGACTATACCTCTCTGTAGACCGAGCACAAGAGAGACATAGACAAAGCGTCGTCTAAACTAGATCTGCACTCTCACAGCCTATCCATCACCAAAAGGAAAAGCTCAAACATCACCGGGGAAGAAAGAATAAACCAGGATCCATGAACATCCGGGGTAAGCCATCCGGGGAGCTTCCAGTGGTTGCAAAGCATTTTATAGGTCAAGGGCAGAGGCCGGGGATCCCCGCTGGGTGCAGTCAGGCGGTTGAATTGAAGCGTTCAAGGATCATCGAGTACAGGGAGAATTTTGCTTTTTCGTTGGCTGAGACTCGGATGGTCGGACAGGAAAGGGGGGTCACCACCAGTTATTAACCAAGGGAGGCAATCCGAGAGATTTGATCATACTACTATGTACTAATTGGACTTGATTGTTTACTATTAGTCTCATGGAGGAACGTCTTGGGCGTGATGCATGCATGGAATCCTCAATGAAACGAATGATGAACCTTGGTCACATCATATACTCTGACTTTCACGACCTGCTTAAAACAGTCGACTGAGTTTTCTCTCCATTATGTATTGAATTGATTCCGTATGACTGTTACCACTTCTACAGAATAACATCTCGTGACTGCATCAACCCTCGTGACAAGCTCAAGCCACCAGAAAACTCATCGCATCCCCCAGTACGTTGTAATTTGTATGCCACTCAATGGATAGCCTATCCTAATAACGGTGATGCTCAGACAACAAGTCTAGACTACCATCACGTCTTGCTGAAACCACCCCATTGGTAAATCTGCAGATCCAAGACCATCCCTACTTATTTGCTTCCCCGCCTATCTGTGAGTCCGGGGATTCAGCCTCAAGGCCTAACAAAAGGCGGTCGCTATTTCTAGGGTTATTATGAGACATCACATCCAGTAATGCCAAATGCATACGCGTACATGTTTGTACCGTAGCATCCGTGTGTTTCGTTCATGCTGAGATGATCGGAGCATAATACATGTCGATCTCATATGCTACGTTGCCTGATTCCGCCACCGATACAGCAGTGAACCAGTTGGCTGTTTCATGGTGTTTATTGAGTGCTACATTCCAAAACTAAAAGTATGTACCAATACAGTCACCTGAACTGAACCATCGACTGGTAAGAAATGATTTGTTTAACCCGACGCCATCCGGTCCGCTGCCTTTTGCTTGAACTCCATGGCATCCTCAAGACAAACTCCAGCAACTCCAACATGTCCTACCTGCATAAACCAGCTAATGAGCGTATCATACCGTACCATACTAGCGTACACGGTGTATCGTAAATCGTAATCAAACTTGCCTTGTGCTAACATCAAAAATATCATTCTTCCATCCTCCCTGCTCGTACTCGAAAAGCTTTTGTTCCGCATCCCTACCTTCCTCTTCCCATAGCTTGACAAGACTTCCAGGAGCATACCGCCCTTGGAATACACCTTGACCTGCCTGAACACCAATGCGGGCGTCAATATTAGGATCAGGCGCTGGAACAAGACGTGCAGCAACAGCTCGAGTGAATGTCCAGAGGTCCTTGGGGTCCGCAATGCGGGTAGCTCGGAGGCGTTCCCGTGCATACAGCATTTCTCTATTCAAGAAATGCAAACCTTCAACGATGGCCGCAGCAACCTTGAGCTCGAGGGCTTTTCGCACGATAGGTCGAATAAATGGCTTCAAAAGCCAAGCCAGACATGCAAACTTGGACTTGCTCAGTGTGTAGTTGAGGTGGTGGATTTTAACCTTGACGTTGCGCAGAGAGACAATTTGTTCCAGGCGGTCCTTGCCGATTTCCAGGTCGAGGGTAATGTCAACACCACGTTTGTCCAGGTGAAATCCGGCAATACCTTGGTCGACCATGCGGAGAAGACCAGAGTGGAGACGGAACCAGTAGCCCAAGTCGTCAGCAGCGATAGAAAGGCCAGAAACAGTAACCTTCATCATGGAGGTTATAGTAGACTGTGTTCCATGAAGTGCCTTCTTCACCTGAACGTCATTGTAGTTTGAAATGTTGAGCTGGAAGGGTAAGAATGAGCTGGAATTAACTGTACGGCCAGGCTCGAGGACAAGATTCTCTAGCAGGAGGTCGATTGCTGGAGCAGATACTTCGACACGTGGAATGGGAATATACTGGATAGCTTGGATGAGAAGAGGAACAAAGATGTTGATAGTGTCGGTAACCAGATCGCTATTGGCGTACTCTCCGGCAGGGGAAAGCAACAGTGCAACTCTCTCGGTTGTGTGGATGAGCTGCTTAATGTCCTGATCATCCAAGATTGATCGAAAAGCAGCATACAGACTAGACAGCAATGCGTCGAGATCATCCCGGATTGAAGACTTGGCAGTCAATTCGTTGGACTTTTTGCGCAAAGTTTGAAACCTCTCCTCGATATTGTCGAAAAAGTCAGGGTCGCTAAACATATTTTGCACCATGTTTCCAATTTGCTTCACAAGTTCATCAAAGTTGGGATCGGTCTTTCCGTCATCGACGACAGCCTCGAAGGATTTTTGGACATTGTCCCAATGCTCACGCTTGCCCAAAGAAGTGATGAATAACCAGAAGTTGTGGACTGCCTTGTCAGCCTCTGGGTTAGGTTTGGTATCCTCCTCAACTGCTTCCACTGTCGCAGCGGCCGCGTGCGAGTAGGCAAGAAGGTAACGCCGAATCAGGAGCGACAGTGTCGAGACGGATTCCTTGTAGTCTGTTCGCTTGCGAAGGTTCAAGACAGTGTTTTTGAGGCGCTTGACAAGTGCATCACCTTCGCCGCCTTTAACGTGCTCCTTGATGCTCTGTGCTGCCCCATCGGCTACCTCAAGGGCACTATCCTTGACAGTTTCGCCGATATCTGCAACTTCATTCTTGAGGTCTTGGTCTGAAGGGGGTGCGGGTGACTTTTCATGGCCATTTGCATTCTTAAGGGCTTCTTCTTCCTCCTTGGAAGGCTTGATGGCCTCGCCAGCTTGTTTAGAGACGTCGGACAAGGTGAAGGCAGTATCTCGTAGTACCTCTCTTCCTACAGTACTGAGATCGGATAAAAAGATTCGGAAGTCGGAATTGGTCAAGAGGAGAGACCCGACAGTCTGCAAGCTCTTGTAAGTAGCCACAGCATCAGCTCGAACCTTTGCTCTGGCAGCCCTCTGTTCGATATGGGCGACATCGACATCTAGACGTGCCTTGGTGAGGTACCAGATAAAATCCTGGATCTGGTCCTTGCTGTTTTTGTGCTGTAGTACTTGGATGAACTGGGTGATCCACAGCTTGATGCTTCTGATGAGAGCTCGTCCTGAAGGGCTCAATTCCTGTCGCTCTGGGTTCAAGATTTGGGCGGAGAGAAGAGTTCGCAGATGGATGATGAGCTGCTCATTGCTTGGCATATAACCCTTTGATATGGCACGCAGCATCTGATATGTATGTAACTTCTCATGCAGTCGCGTCTGCAAGTTAGTGTCGTCATTGTAACGCGGCAGCAGAGGCTCACGCTCTGCCTCTTCACGGTCTTTACCGCAGCCGAAACATGACAACATTTTTAAAAGCTTCAGGCTTTGATCGCCTGCGTTGAATTTATTGGGTTTGATGAATTTGTGAGTATTTTCTTGGGAGTGGTTGCTACGACAGACGAAAAAGTGAGAACGAGAGATTCATATCCATTTTTTGAGAGCGATGATAATAACGACGTCATGACTTAATCGGAGCTTCTGATCCTGGCATGCACCTCTAACTTTAGGCTTGAGGCAACCACAAACCCCCTGTGAAACGCTAAAGGAAACAGCCACGATCTTGATGATTGGTCAAAGAGGAATTCATTATTTCGCATTCATGATGTCTTATTTTGTAGTGATGATGAGTGGGCTTGTGTATGGGAATGCGCCTACAACGAATTCGTCCAAATCGCATCATGGAGCATGTTGATGAGCGATGAATATATTAAGAAAAAATACCTAAATAAATTGCCACTGCAGCTCTTAACAATTGAAAGTGAGAAGAAGCCCTCCTCTCAGTTTATCCCATTCCATTTGCTTGGTATGGTCACTCACTTTAGCAGCAAATCCTGAGATCAGGAGCGTTTTTGGCGATGCAGAAGGAGTCGCAATTTTATTTCAATCGTCTTGACGTCTTTCTCGTGACAATTGCAGTCAACTTTAAGGCTTATATGGATGTTGTTACTTTTCGGCCATTCATCATCAACAGAATGGCCCGCGGTTACTAACCACGGACTATGGTCGGTGGACCTCGGCATCGTCAGCTGGGTGGGAAACCAAAGGAGCGCAAACAAGGAGTCCAGAATAGACTGAACAGCGAACACGAGTAATACTTGAATCATTTATTCTGATTGTATAATTTCAACCAACAAAATTTGAGTCTCGATGACAACGCCAAAAGAATGGGAGCGGTTATCCTTCCAAGAAGCCATGGAGCTATCCAGACTTACAGACCACGCTTCCAGGGTACAGGCCATTCAAAGATTTATGAGTCGCCAACCAGCTTGGACTCCAGGCCAAGAGCTTCCATGGGGCGCTGCCGGAATTCCGCCGCCTAAAATTACAAGAGGAGCTTATGGCGCTGTCGTATATACACAAGCCTCTCTTGCAGCAGCCCGTATAGTTGAACAAGAAGATGAGAGTAAACGGATAGAAAACAGGAGAGGCATACATGTGCGTCGAACCCCCTTATAGTCCGTCCGATCAAAGAACTCACAGTATTTATTTAGTCCATTCATGCTGTCTTTACAAACCCCGGACTTTCAGATCGCCCTTTCATCCTCGATGTATCAGAGGTCCATTCGAGTCGTTCATTTTCTACACGCCTCGTCCACGCTCGTCAACCAACGCATCCTTCGACAAACCCATCAGGGCCCTTTCCCGAATCAGACTCTGAAGCGCCCCTAGGCAACGCTTGCTTGACGAGTATCATCACTTTCAAACGACCAGTTCCTAGTACTGATCAAATCCAAGGGATCCCACCTCAGGAGAGGTTCAAAGACATTCTTTCCTCAAGGAATCCCGATGAATGGGATCCATGTCCGCAGGCAGACGTTGATGCCCTGAAAGCAAAGTTTCCGAATGAAGGCCATGGGGCATTCCCTATTCTGGACATGTACAAAGTTGACATGTCTGCATTCAATACCAATAAGGAAATACCCGAGCGGAGAGAATTGATCTACTATCGATTGCTCAAGCCTCTTTCTAGACAAGATATCAACGCACATATTCTGTGCCATGCTTTCGAGGCAGACCGTAATAGTCTATTCATGCTCGGCAACCACCTGGGCTATGGTCACGATCTGGGCATTGCAGCAAGTCTGAGTTATTCTTTTTACGTCCACGTCAATGCCGAAGAAGCAGTCATGGAAGGTAGTGAGTGGTGGATACAAGAAGCTTATTGGCCACGCTTCAGCGCGGGCAGAGGCGCAATGGAGAGCTTGATATGGAGTCCAGAGGGGAAGCACGTCGCGACTGGCTATCAGGATGGTATCGTACTGCCGATGGCAACGAAGCCAGAGCGAGAGACAAAATTGTAAAGATGATGTTAGTTTAGTTCCGCATCGGCCTTGCGACCAAGAGTTGATTGCGTCCAGTAAGTAAAGTATTGTCTATAGAATCAGTGATGACACATTACCCTGAACAGTCGATAATATAAAGACTTATCTGGACTAAAATAGTTGGAAAGTGGATGTTCTATATTTTTCTATCCCTTCTGACCGTGCCTTCCGTTTGTGATTCACGAAAAGGAGAGAGCTCTTCCTCACAAAGATTTTCTTTTCAGGCTCCAGTCACCCCCCTCGTTCTCTTCGGGATTGCATAATTCGATTTGAGAATCGCCTAACCCATTGAACAACATTTCCTTGCAGCATAAAAACTGACATTCGTTGACTCAAGGAATAATCGTTTATCCCAGCAAAAGCTGCTCTAGTATGTCACTTCGTTCCCTCGCGAGTCAAGGTGAGAGTCGAGAGCAGTAAGATCTAACCGACTGAGTATGTCCCTGGATAATACATTGTTAGGCACGAGCTCTATTGACCAACGCCATCCAGGATCCAAGGAAAGCTGAACTTCCAAGAAGTTATGCCCATCTTCCTGCAAGCCTTCTCCTTAACATTCAGCAAACACAGCAGTGACACAGGTTCAGATAAATCTTCGCATTCAAATCTTCACACTCAGGCGGCCTTTGGGCATACCTCTAGAGCTGGTCAGTGCATGAATAAACGCACCCTTCCCTTTCTGCACTTGCTTGCTTGGTGGCTTCCCCGGGTATATATCACCTGCAGACATTTGACACGGATCTTGCATAGCAGCGCATTATATCTCATCTCTGTTTACTAAATGACCTTCTTTAAACACCACATCGGATTAAAAAGGGGTAAGCCTATTACCTATCTCCTCTTATTATCACTACTAAACATTAAATAAACAAACAGAGAAACGAGGCAGCTATTAAGAAGGACACTTCTCCTATTCTATCCATTGCCATTTCACTAGAGCATGCCGCAGACTGATTCACTGCTGGTAAGTGTTTGATCTGCCTGCCTAACGCATCAGCCATCTTGCACTGCCAATCCTTAACACCAAATCATAATATTTACAAGGTGCACTACCAAAATTTTCCATCTTTCCCTGCCTTTCACATTAAACGGATTATCACCAATCTTCCCCAAACATCATCTTCTTTTATACAAACGTATTGCTTATCCCTTCTACTTTACAAGGCACATGGCAATCCTCTTTTCAATTATCAAGATACTCGTTGTTGCGCGTGGCTCCCCTATGCCGGCTAAGAAACGAAAGTTTTGATAAGTTTGCTTCATTTTCTCTAGCACTGTATTTCTATCCCCTTTCCGTGCTCCATGTATTGGCCTATATTAATTACTCTTTTCGACCCGGCAGTTCTGGCACTTATCTACCTTACTTCCCCTTTAGTGAAGCCATAGGATAGGCTCCTACTATCCAAAAGCTACATCACCTTTCCAACCCCCAGGTCAAAAGACGCTTTCCCTGTAAGTAGCCCTTCTATAATGCTTAGAATACATGCTAACCGCAAATCCAGGACTTATTACACTACTACACAAGCAATACTATTCAAGATGACCGACCGTATCGGGTCCCAGTCTCAACCTGGTCCGGTAGTAGCTGAAGATGTTAATCGGATGCTGCAGAAGCGTGCAGATGAGGTCTTTGCAGTGAGCTCCGATGGGCAGACATACACTGCGCCAAGGTGTCTCATCGGTACTCCAGTGCGCAAGATCACTGAAAATGACGACTACTGGAAGTCGGGATGGCTCTCTCTTGAATCGTTCTTTGCACAGGAGGAAAGTGAGAAGAAAGCTAAAGCTGAAGCGGGTGTGCGACGGCAACTCGATCCTTCAGACAAGCGCGCCGCAAAAGAGCACAAGATCCATTCGGACAATGTCTGCAAGCACAAGAAAATCAGAGAGATATTCGGAAAGGAGACGAACTATCATCCTAACCAGTTGGTTTCCAAGCACCATCTACCTGCGGACGGGCTTTGCTACATGGACATCATGTACAAGCTTGCCTGCAAGGTATCGGATCTGAAATATCTCCAAGATCGAAAGGAGCTTACTATGGATCCATGGGATTTCATCCGATGGCGAGTCGCGCTGAAACTTCAGCCGAAACTTTTGTTTGCAGCGCAGACTGGTCGCGAGTATGTTCGAACCATCATCTCTCAAATCTTCGAAGGACCTGGAACGGTTTCTTTCCCTCGCCCGTATCATGATCCCCTACTTCGCGCAGCCATCATTCGATCAGCTGGTTATCAGGGCCGCCTGAACAGCTACGGCAAGCCCAGCGATAAGCACAAGGTCGTTAAAAAACCTTCTACGACCACTTCTCGTGTCAAAGCCAGGCCCTTGTCGCCTTTGGCACACCGGCCAGTCAATCCTTCTCGAGTTGAGAAACGTCAAAAGATATCTTCTCAACCAAGCAACTACCATGGCGTCAACGCCTTCCGAGCCCAGCAACAAACTCGTCAGGGATCGCAATATAACCCCAAGCAATGAGCATACGGTGATCAAATGTGAGTAGTTTAAGAACAATTCCCTTATTTGTTAGCTAATTCATCTCGACTCGGTTTTTTTATTATGAAGTCCAAGGCTCGTTTCCTTGTGCCAATTGAGCTCAATGAAACTATTCGGTACATACGCCTTCTATCTCGTATATCATTTGCATTGAGGTGACAAACTGGCAATGGGGGATACCTATCAGGATTTTGAAAGTGTTATTCATGGCATACGGATACCGGTTCACATCGGCCAGTTTTATCCTGCATTATCTAGCAAATTTTTGTACAACATCTGCTCCCTCCCACTATTTGATCGCAACTGAGACGATCATCCGCATAGTTCTTCCATGGGCCTGTATCTCTAGGGAGGGTTCAGTACACACCAGGGACTCTAGGTCTTATCGAAATATTGGCTCTCTTGCAATTGAAACTATCATAATACTTTCGACGTCCACCTGGTGCCGATAATATTGCAATGCTGATCTTGTTTGTATCACGGTGAATGACATTGTGGTATCATTTTGACACTATAGTCTTGTAGCTCGTAAAACGACTTGACAAACCATAATAATTAAGAAGTCACGATGATTTATCTAATAACTGCATGACCTCATTTGATCCCGAATTTGTTGCTTCTGTAAGCTTGCCGTACAGCTACATGATCGGGTATGCTGGGTATGTCGGTTATGCCGGGATGAGTCTGAAGTCTTGACGATGTAAGGGTAACTTGTCCATATAATTTCATACTCACTGAAACCACCCTCTAAATACTCTTTAACTGCCTGATCGAATGCTCCTGACTTGAGATCATAAAGAGATAACTGTTCCGTCTACCACTAACCACGTGCAGTCGAGACTTTTAGCTCAATTGGTTCCTGCATCTCAACTCTGAACTTACACCATCGAACACACAGGTAACGTGAATCAACGTTCAGATAATATCGGCCATATTTAATTTGTACTAAACTAGCCAGGTATGAGTTTGCGTCAAGCAGCTGTCAAAGCCAGTCGAGCTCGCTTTGCAAGCCAGTTCCCATGGACAACTTCGCCTGCAACCATCGGCGCACCAATGCGCATTATGTCAGGACCGCAACTCGCTCTAGAAATCTCAAAAGCTGGAGGGTTGGGCTTCATTGGTCCTGGAGCAAAGCCCGAAGACACATCCAAGGACCTAGCTACTGTGCAGGAGTTGCTACGCAATTCGCCTCCCAAAATACTGCCATCCGCTTTTCCCTCCGATCATCTCCCAGTTGGTGTGGGCTTTCAGCTTTGGAATGGGGATTTGAAGTCAGCTGTCCAAGCTGTCCAAGAACACAAGCCTTGCGCAGCGTGGCTCTTTGCGCCACGTCGAGGTCAAGAGGAGCTGGATGAGTGGACGGTCCAGATACGGGAAGCTCTCCCTGATATCCAAGTCTGGATTCAGATTGGTACCGTACAGGAGAGTGTCCAAGTCGCCATGAGTGATCATCGCCCCGATGCTCTTATTATCCAAGGTGCTGAAGCAGGTGGCCATGGTCGAGCCACTGACGGCCTGGGTTTAATGGCCCTGTTCCCTGAAATCGCAGACCAGTGTCAAGACTTTGACATGGCTATGTTCGCGGCAGGAGGCATTGCAGACGGTCGTGGAGTCGCAGCGGCACTCTCACTCGGAGCCACTGGCGCAGTAATGGGCACCCGCTTCCTAGCAGCCACGGAAGCGCGCATCAGTAAAGGCTACCAGCAAGAAGTCGTACGAGCCACAGACGGAGCGCGATGCACTACTCGAACCATGCTCTACAATCATCTTCGCGGCACGATGGGTTGGCCGGAGCAGTACAGCCCGCGTGGGATCGTCAACCAGAGCTTCCACGATCACCAAGCTGGTGTTGAATTTGAGGAGCTGAAGAAGCGACACGACGAAGCTGTCAAGTCTGGCGATAAGGGCTGGGGACCAAAGGGGAGACTAGCTACGTATGCGGGTGCGGCTGTTGGGCTTATACATGATGTACAGGATGCTGGTGTGATCGTGAGGCGTGTGCAAAGTGAAGCCAAAGAGATCATGGCAGAATCGGCAAGGGATTCTATGTAGCATGCAATTCCCACAAGTAAATGTGATCCTTATATTGCTCTCATGTGAGAGACGACTTAACATAGTATGTAAAACAGTGTTGTTGGTTTATTTTCTAGTTATCATAATTCTACAGGAACAATGAGTGAGGAGCTGGGAGAACTACTATATATTATCCTTTAGACGATGCACTTACAACTATGGCTATAGAATAAAGATTGAGGAGATTTTATGGTCACAATTCGAATATGTTTTACTGTTATTGGTGTATTTGCTACATGTGTTTACGAAATCAATGAGTAGTAAGTATGTACCCTGTTTTGATTTTTTATGAGCTTCGCAAGCCAGTGTTCGTCATGAGAATGATTTGAACAGTACCTGTATACTGCCAGGATAGGACAAGCACACATAAACCCGATGAGATGACCGTATTTGGTGTATTTGGATTATGGTTCGTTCGTCACTTACACGCTCTTGGTACCTAGGTTATGATAGTGTAAACCACAGATTCATCTTTCATTACTTCATCAACTTGAATATGTTCATTTTGTCCTTATGTTTGATCTGCAGCTTGCGACTTCGTTCATAACAGTATTAGACATTAATAAAATCCATGAGTTGAATCTTCGTCAGTGAGCCTCGGTAGTGGGTTAAGACGGAATGGATAACAGATGTTATGACTAAGCATGTGAGATCTGAAAGTGACATTTGCAAATTCAAATGATAGAGTAAAGTCAACCAGATATTTCTCATTCCAATCGAGCTATATAATCATGTTGCCAAGATAAATGTGATGGATTTTGGAGCTCAAAGCTTTAGATGACGATTCCGTGATCCGCCTTACTTAGCGACTACAACAAGAGCTTTGAAGGTCACGTGGCTGAGAATACAGCAACTTCAATTGGACAATTGACTTGCCCGGATGGGTCCAGGTTCCAACTTCGACCCAAATCAGCCCATCCCTCACAAATCCCTCGACAACACCCTCTACCTCGCATCCCCGAGTCATCCTCATTGCCAGGCGCAAACCCGATCCGATAAGAACTACAACAATGTTCCTGCAACGCTCCGCCATCACTGCGGCTCGCCGCGTCGCCGCCCGACCTGCTGTCGCTCGCACCTTTGTCACCTCCGTCGCTCGCCGTACGCATTTCTTTCTTTCCCCACAGCCAATGGTATCCGTCGTATGATGGCTGACTAGTGTTTTTGCTCCGACTACAGGTGATGCCAGCCGCCCTGCCACCCCCAGCGAGCAGGCTGCTGCTCTTGCTGGCACTGCCGAGAAGAAGGTTGGATCCTACAAGGTCCTGAAGGGTACGTCAATCGATAACGACGCCGTCGACAGCCTCAATGGCGCGCCCCGTAACCTCGGTCGATGCACCGTGACGTGATATGCAACACTCGCTGACGAAAGCTTCCACTATTACAGAGATCCAGACTGAGGAGGATCTCTTCGGTCCTGGTGCCGCCCCCGGTACCGTCCCTACCGATCTCGAGCAGGCCACCGGTCTCGAGCGTCTGGAGATTCTCGGTAAGATGGAGGGTGTCGACATCTTCGACATGCGCCCTCTCGAGGCCACCCGCCTCGGAACGATGAAGGACCCCATCATGGTCCGATCTGCTGGTGAGGAGCAGTTTGCTGGTTGCACTGGTTTCCCTGTCGACTCTCACAGTGTTACCTGGCTCGGCGTGAGTCCTGACCTTTTTTCGACCCCCGGACAGATGGAAGTGAATCGCTGACATTGTAACTTAAAGATCACCCGCGAGCGCCCTATCGAGCGATGCCCCGAGTGCGGCAGCGTCTACAAGATGGACTACGTCGGTCCTGAGGACGATCACCACCACCACCACCCTCCTGAGTTTGAGGAGCCCAAGACTTTTGCCGATTACATCAAGCCTGAGTACCGATACAAATAAATGCATTGCGCCGAGAGACATTGAGGAGATTGGGCTGCAGTATCAAGTGAAAACTAGACGGGTGTGATGCTGCCCCGGGGGGAGAGGATCCGTTTTGTGTAGATTAGGGTGCCTTGTTCCCTGTGTCAATTTACTAAGTTAGCTTGCAGAAGTTGATGTTGACTATATAACAGATTCTCCAAGATGTGAAACTAATTTAATTTCAATTAAACTTGTAGCCGAGTAGTTCTCGAGCTTCAGGATATTTCACAGTATATAATTGGGTTGTGATGTCATTTCGTTGGTTGAGGTGAAACAGTCTGCAAATGGCAGCTCTCATACGGAGTACCAGGGCCACGAATCGAAATGGTGTGACATGAGACATGGGATGGGATATGTATACCCTTTCCAAGTAAGAGAACAAGCTCCGATATGCCTTCATATACCTGTTGTTCTCATTTGTGAATTCCCTGTTGTCTAGTTCCTGGGATATCGAGTTGGTGTAATGACATCGTCTCGATTATTGTGTGAGGAGCATGAAGACCATCTCAGATGAACGACTGCTGCATGCTTGAGAGTAAAGGCGATGCTGTTATGCTCGCCGTTGTCCTTCAGCCTTCGTCTTCATCAAAGCTCAACTTAATCTTCTTGGCCTTCTTCTTTGGCTTGCGATTCTTGGCGGCGTCTTTATCAGAAACGTCCTTTTTCTTCTTATCCACCCCGTCACCTTCAGCTTTGGCCTCATCAGAATCACCGCCAACGACTTTTCCAACCTTGCGCTTTCTTCCCCCGATAGCAGCTTTGCTTTCAGACTCTTTGGTAGCTTCTTTCACAACCGTCGGATCCGCATCGTGATCTCCAGTGTCCTTGACAACGCCGTCCTTGTCAACCTCAAGATTCACAAAGTTCCCGTCTTCGTCCACGACAAGCGGTACATCTTCGGCTTCCTCACTGCTGGAGCGCTTCTTAGCTGATCTCCGTTGCGCAGCGAGGAGTGGATCGGGACCAGTTGCGCCAGCAGCTTGGGCGCGCAGAGCCGCAAGGAATGGCGGTGCTGCGTTGTCGTACGACAGATTTTTTGAGTTGATCTTGGGAGTAGAAGCCATGGTTGAAGAGTTTGGATGAAATAGAATGAGTGAGTGAGTGAGCTGGAGGTTTGATGTGGTTGGTTCTCTCACAAGCTGTCAACGATTGGTTTACAGCTCTTTGTCAGCTTTTCGATACCGTCTTTTGATCCTCCATGAAACCTGGATCCAGAAACACAAACAAGCAAAATGTCAGTCTATACTATTCTAGGCAAAGAATAGTTTATCTGCATGCAAACGCAATGAAAGTGGGGCTCCTGTGCTAAACCTATTTTTCTGGCCATAAGACAAGATTGAGATGAAACTGAATTTCTTGCTTTTATCAGGTCCACTATAAACTAAGGCAGATCGATGGAAACTCAGTATCTACGGTGAGCGACAAGTGGTGAGAACCTAATTACAACCGAATTTGGCTTCTTTTTCTTCTTTTTCTTCTTTTTCTGCTTCTCCTGACAGGGGAAACTTTTGGCCAATATGAAGACGCGGACCGGGAGATCATGATGGATATTCCGCCCTTTTCATTTAGATGAAGTTGCGGTGTCTGATTGGATTGAGCCCAAAAAGCAGGGCGGCCTATTGGGTACGGACGAGCCCGTGGCCCCCCTGTAATCATGACCCGGGCTAATAGCAGGTACCTGCTGGGCCAGGGCAGCCGGGCCCGGGATTTTAGTTGAATGCGGATGGGGATAGGTGCATGAAATAAACTGCTAATATCAGTCACTGTGCTACAACTACAACTACTCCAATCTCTTGAGTCTAGCACATCATGGTTGCCCCATCTCAACCCATGATGAATTCTCCTGATTATCTCCTGTCTTTATGCTTTACCTGTGCTTTTTCTCCTCCCTTTCTTTTGCCTCTTTTCTGTTATCCCTTCCAAAACTAAGACTTGCCCTCATTTATCAGAGTCAGTCTTATCTAATCGCTTCCATTTCCCTATGATTAATCGCCCTTGCTTTATTGTAATGTCAGACAAACACCCCCTTCTTCATTGGTGATTTAAAGTATCCATATTACTACTGCTGTATTCTTGTCCCTCGTTATCAACCGCCAAGTCTGTGCCCCACTGTCCCATCTATGCCGGTCGACGCGTCAGTGAGTTGGGTTTCTTGCTTTGCTGGGTCCAAGATTTGGCTTTTGCTCTCTAGTTACCTAGCTTTGACTTTGGCGTGGGAACGTGGTCGGTCCCTGCCGCTCATTACTTAATTCCATTCCCTTGTCCATCTGCACTGTACATCTTTTCTTAGATCCAGAATCCTTCAAGATCTCGAGGCGCTGCGACCACTCTCTTTGCTTCCATCTAAGTTAAGGTGATCACCTGCTTGGACTACACGATCCGAACGACGAGCCACGACAAAACGATACCACGACCGTTTATTCTTTCAACGACTGAACCAAACTGCGATTGCGTCTACCTAATTCTCCCAACCTTTTGGTCCCACCCTACCCCCAGATCGATCGACCTACGAATACGTACGGTAGTTACGATAGCCCCGTCCGCCAACACCCATCTTCCTCCTTACTCTCGACCTCCTATTTCTTCGTCTTCGACGGCCGTCGCAGGCGCCACGATACGGCGCAATTCATGTCCTCCCGACTACAATTGCCATCAATCGCACAACCTGCCGCCGCGGTAGGCTCTTCCTCGCCATGGACCTGATCAGAAGGGCCACTAGGGTGGCTCCTAGCAAACCTTCTCTACAACTACCCCTCGATGAGAAGAGGGACTCCAAACACAACAAGGCTGTCGACAATCGCATGGCCTTCTTCCGTAGACCGCTGCGATTAAAGGGGAACTCAACGATTTCTGTACCTCTGGGCGTGGTTATCTTTTTCCCTATGCTTGTTTTAATTCTTATTTTTATTCTTTTCGTCAGCCATCCCAGTTCCCCAGGCAGGGGTTTCCTTATACCAGGAGGTGCTGCCCCTAAAATGCGGTATGTTTGATATCACCGGTTTCGGCATGGCCCCTAGCTAACAAGAGGAAAAGGAAAATCAGCGAAAAGTACGACAAGGTGTTCGTCGAGGGCTGTGCCCAGCCCGACACCAGCCAGCCCAGAGCCAATGCTGCTTTTGTGATATTAGCGAGAAATAAGGAGCTTGATGGTGTGCTGCAATCCATCAAGTCGGTCGAGAGACACTTCAACAGATGGTACCATTACCCCTATGTGTTCCTCAACGACGGTGATTTCGACGACAACTTTAAAGAGGCCATTCGAAACCACACTTCGGGCGAAGTTGAGTTTGGAAAGGTTGGACCTGACATGTGGGGGTTCCCGGATTGGATCGATCCCAAGGTCGTTAAAGAAGGCATTGCTAAACAGGGTGATGCTGCCGTCATGTACGGAGGTCTTGAGAGTTACCACAAGATGTGTAGATTCTACTCTGGGTAAGTTGAGGCAACTTTGCTCTTCAGCAGCGTAACTAACAGCGCATGCAGCTTCTTCTTTAACCACCCGTTACTACTAAAGTATGAGTGGTATTGGCGAGTTGAGCCTGAGATCAGCTACTTCTGCGACATCACATAGTATGTTTGTTCTTCTGACAAGATTTATGCATTGCTAAACATGCAACAGCGACCCATTCCAAAAGATGATTGAACACAACAAAACATATGGCTTTACAATTGCCGTCAAAGAGCTTCGCGAGACTGTCCCCAACATCTTTCGATACGCCTCCGCATACAAGCGACTCAACAACATTAAATCCAAGGGTCTATGGGAAATGTTTGTCGAACCACCTGAGGATGATGAGGAAGACTCGACCAAGGAAAGCGATACTTCTCCAAACGATAACAGCTTCTGGGATACCCTCACAGGGAAGAAGAAGAATACGATCGACCCCGAGTCAATGGAGGGAGAGGCCTACAACATGTGCCATTTTTGGTCTAATTTCGAGATCGCCAAGCTCAGCTGGTTCCGCAGCAAGGAGTATCAGGATTTCTTTGAAATGATGGACCGAAGTGGTGGCTTTTGGATGGAACGAGTATGCAAGCCTAACCTCCCTTTTATAACAATGCTAACATTCCTTAGTGGGGCGATGCTCCCATCCACTCCCTTGCCGCTGGCGCTCTGCTTGGACCCCAGGACATCCATTACTTCCGAGACTTTGGGTATCGGCACACGACAATCCAGCATTGCCCTGCTAATGCACCCAACAAGCAGCTCCCTCGTGAGCCTTACCTAGAAAAGACGACATTCCCGGAATATAAGCGATTCGAGGAAGACGACTACTGGGAGCAATGGGACGACGTGCAAGAGGGTGGCATTGGCTGCCGCTGTAGGTGTGATACAGATGTCGTTGATGTTGAGGGCAAGGAAGGATCTTGTCTGGCTGAATGGGTCGACATTGCTGGCGGCTGGGCTCATCCATATTAAGGCGCTCGAATACTCAAGATTGCTTCAGTATTTGTACACTATGGACCGATAGATGACACCATATTCGAGCATTTCGATTATCAACGGCGCTTCAGGGGCATGAGCAACTTCGATTCGACCAAGTCACAGGGATTCTTACACATTTGGGGATAGGATAAAAAAAGAGGGGTGCGGCGTTTTGCTTTAACAAGAGGATCTGGTCGTTGCTGTTACAAGGCTTTCGCCCGTACATTTCGTTCAGAATGTTCGTTGCTGTATTACAGTACAGGACATGGCAGATGCATTGTGTGGAATCTGCTTCATATACGGTTTCGGAGGTCTTTGCATGTTCGGGTAGATGATGTGTTTTGTACTCAAGAGATTCTAAGAGTACCTACAAGGTATTAATGATACATTCAGGATGAGAGATCGCTCATTCCTAGATTTTACGTCTGCTTGAATTTTGTCTCATACGTCTTGAACTATCTGTATACTTGAAGACCATGACCCCAGTGGTTACTTCAGCATATGCATTGCTAGCTTCAAGCCAAACATCTTGCAGCCAGGTTTCGATTGTGTTGGTTCAGACGTAGCGTAGGCAGTCAGAAGTGGCGTTGGAGGCCCTTGACTAACAGCACTGCCTTCAGCTGAACACCACAATTCCAGCCAGACCCACTGTTCATGATCTACCTTACCAGGACTGAGTCCTAGATATATAGTCTTGGAATTGCCTTGATGGGTGACCGGTTCTAACATCAACAAACTTACACTTCTGCTATATCGCATATCCTCCGAAGAAGCCTCTTGGTCACTCTATTTCACAATGGATGCATTGCATCGTGTCTCCGAGTATCTCTTTGGTCCCGCGATTCCTCCCCGGGAACCATGCGGGAGAAAAGTGCAGATCATGTCAGACCTTCATCTAGAGCTCAATCGCCAGTACGCGACTTTCGACTTTCCCGTCAAAGCGCCCTTTCTCATTCTTGGTGGTGATATAGGCCGCATGGTCGACTATGACATGTTCCTCCCCTTCCTTGCTCGCCAAACAGCCCGCTTCGAAAAGGTCTTTTTAGTTCTTGGCAACCATGAGTTCTACGAAATGAGCTACGAGGATGGTATATCAAAGGCCAAAGAATTGGAGAAGGAGGAGACTTTGGAAGGAAAACTTGTGATTCTAGATCGAAACCGCTGGGATGACCCTGATTCGAAGCTCACCATCGTCGGCGCAACGTTATGGTCCAAGATCCATCCCTCGGCAGCCGAAACTATCACTCTCCGTGTCTCGGACTACAAGAAGATTTCGGGCTGGTCCGTTGCCAAGCATAACGAGTGTCACGCTCGCGATCTCGCGTATCTCAGCGAAACCGTCACAGGCCTTGGTAATCTCCCTGCAGAATCCCAGCGGACCGTTCTGGTGGTGACGCATCATGCGCCCTGTGTGGCAGGGTCTTCGAAGCCCGAGCATTCGAACGCTCCGTTCAAGACTGCTTTTTCGACGGATGTCATTCAGGCGAGGGAGTTTGCGAGGGGCGTTGCGGTGTGGATGTTTGGGCATACGCATTACACAACAGAGTTTAAGAAGGGTGGTGTGAGGGTTGTTGCGAATCAGAGGGGGTATGTTCTGGGGTACAAAGGGCCTACGTTGGAGGATACAAAGGGGTTTAGTGATGAGAGGGTTGTTGAGTTGTGATATATAGGTGGTTCTCTCGGATTAAGGAAGGGTGTTGGTGTTTACTGAGTTTGGAGTCTGGGTAACAAGGTCAGTTATACATCAATTGCTATATATCTATAATAATTCATCATTTAAACCTACTCTGGGTACCTATTTATCAGTACTTAGGGACATATTAATTTGTATGCTGGAGAGAACTAAAAGGGCACAATTTGATGCAACGGTGATGAAAAGGCACCAGGGGACACAGACAAGTCTAGAATTTTTTAGCGGAAGAAATATTACCAATAGTCTCATATTTTATGATTTTGAGCAACCTCTTCAACGTTATTTGTGAAGAGGATGCTATAGTCTTTGAGAATATGCTTCGTGTAAGTCAGAGAGCTCTTACACCTAGCCGATTTACAGGTTCTCGGATGATCAACAACAATAGCTGAGCGTTGAGCATTAATACATGTATGAAGTAATAATATTCTATCTTTCATCTAATTAATGAATATTGTTATACTTTCTCTGATGTATTCATTTTAAGCTTGTTGCAAGTGCATTCAAGGTGAGGATTGATGAGTGGCCTGAGGCATCTACTGCCCCGGATTGACATTCTTGCGCTAAGGCTGGAACCTCCAAAAAATTGGTTACTGTCGACTTGGAGATCGCTAGCATCAACCTCCAGACTCACGGCCACAGCGCCCTTTCCAAGACGATGCCTCCTCGAATCTCTCCCTTCAGCACACCGCTGTGCTGCAGGACGGCCGCCAATGCCCCTGTCTCATCGCTGACTGCCTACCTCGCCGGTCTCTCGCTCCAGACCAGAAATGCGTCCATCCTTGGCAGCCTCGCGAACACCCCAGGTGCCATGCACCAGAAGAAGCGAGTTGGTCGTGGTCCTTCATCTGGACATGGAAAGACATCTGGTCGCGGTCACAAGGGTCAGAAGCAGCACGGAAAGGTCAAGCCATGGTTCCAGGGTGGTCAGACACCTTTGATCGTCAAGCACGGTCGAAAGGGTTTCAGCAACTAGTGAGGCACCTACGATTATCTCCTGACACGAAATTGAAGGTTTGGGGGATAAAATGTTCAATTGACTAACAAGTCCGCAGCCGAGCCCCTCAAATGTCGGAAGTCAACATCGACCAAATCCAGGCCTGGATCGACCAAGGACGACTCGACCCCGCGAAACAGATTACTCCCAAGGAATTGATCGAGTGTGGGATCATCGGAACTCTTAAGGACGGTGTCAAGGTTCTATCCCGGGGTGCAGACACTCTCAAGCAGCCCATCAACGTCATGGTCTCTCGTGTTTCTGCCTCAGCAATTGCCGCTATCGAAGGCGCTGGCGGCAAGGTCCTCACTCGATACTATACCAAGCTCGCCATAAGACGACTCTTGACTGGCGAATCGGTTAACACAGACAAGCCTCTGCCTCAAGGTGCGGAGCACGTTGACACTGTGCTGGCCGCAGCCCGTGAGGCACCGTTCCGATACCGACTACCCGACCCCACTGGCCGTGAGGATATCGAATACTATCGTGACCCTGCGCACCGAGGATACTTGAGCCACCAACTTGCGCCAGGCGAGTCGCCCAGTTTGTACTTCAGGGTTCCTGGTGTGCACAAAATTAAGAGCGAGGTTAAGAAGGAGAAGGCGGCCACCGAGGAGACTCTTTTCTAAGAGTTGGGTGGGGTATGGCATGTTGATGAACTGTATTATAATGACCGAGTATAGAGACTTGGATGTGAAAACAAGCAATGTACAACCAATTGAAACTCTTAGACTGAAGACGTTGATTCAATCTGATGAATGCATCGATATTCGAGATCAATCAGCCACAGTTTGACTGACAGTTTGTGGCGTTACCAGGAACATCCATTGTAGCCGTTACAGGACATGACTTTGATGCAGATGTACATGGAGAAGTGGGAAGTGGGAGCGAGGTACGTACCAATGACGCTCCACAACAGCTCTGTCCGGACGCCGGGTTAAGGTCATGTCGCAGACCCAGACCCAAGTCTTCTCCACCTGGAATGACTTCACCAACCTCCCGGTTGCCTCTCAATTCGCGTGTATTTCGTCGCTAAGGTTGCTGTACGGCTTACTGGTTTTGCTTCAGCTCTTTCAGTAGCTATTTGTTACATCGCTGGCTCGCTATCGCGCATCCCAGACCATTGCGTTGAATAGCCTCTCTCTTTCACGGCCTCAATTACGAGTCGCCTATACTACGTTAGACGAGACGACGGATCTACATACAATCGCTCCAAGAGTTATCGCGGCTCAGCTGATCGACATCGACAAGACTGGTACGCGCCGCAAGATAGCTTTACAACAAAATACACGACATACAAAATCACAATGTCGCTATTTGGTTCATCGCCGACTGAGGAGAGTCCGGCCTTGAGCCCGGCTGGTCCTGCTCGACGTGGTGGTGCTGGGCTCTTTGATGAAGAGTCCGCATCCAAACCATCAAACAGTCTCTTCGCCGACGACGACTCCCAAGATTCACCTTGGGATATGCCTACGCCGCGCAAGCAGCAGAGCCGTGCCGACCTCATCCGCAGCCTCCTCGCCGGTAGCGACGTGCCCGACAGCTATATCGAGATTTTCGATACAGTAGTGCGCGAAGATGGAAGCGGGGGTCAGGTCACCTCTGGAGGTATCGCAAAGCTCTTTGCTACAGCCAGGCTCGGAGCCGACGCTCAAGCTCGCATCATGTCCTTGGTTGCTCCGGGTGGCGGGGATATCAAGCTAGGTCGAAACGAGTTCAATGTGCTGCTGGCCCTGGTCGGCCTGGCGCAGGAAGGCGAAATCATAAGTCTTGATGGTGTTGATGAGCGACGAAAACGTAAGTATTGATTCATATTTCTTCGATTTCCACTTCGCATGAAAGAATTCGCGTCATGCAAATGACTTTTGCTTGCCAAGGCTTACAAGCTGCGTTATCATCTGGTCCATGCGATACCATGTCACATCAGTGCTGGCATATCCCCCCGGTGGTTGGTGGGGACACTACTACTCGATGCAGCTAATAACTCATTTCCATCACAGGCCTTCCGCAACCCAAGCTCGCAGGTCTCACTGCAGAGCCCATTCTACCTCCAGTTGCTGAACTTTCTGCGAAACCTCCTCAGACGCCTCCCAAAGATAATCCTCCTCAGCAACAGCAAACTCCGCCCGCGCAGCCGCAGCCACAGCCGCAGCCTAAGCAATTTCGTCCAGCTATGGAAGACCCCGAAGACGACCCATGGGGCAGCCCCGATATGCACAAGACCCACGATCACGGTCCAGCCAAATCCAATGGTGCCCAGCGTCATAACACGAATGGCCATGCCGACTTCAGCCAAACACCCACAACAACAGTAATTGATACTCCTCCTCTGACTCATGTTGTGTCGCCTCCTACAACTTCGCCGAATCGTCGCAGACAGCCCAGCACCAACTCAGTCACGGGACCTGCTGGATGGGGATACTTTGATGGAACCAATCCCACCGTAGGCGGCTTCGGCGAATCCCCAACTGCTGCTGCTGTTCAGAATCCCTTCGCCACCGGCCCTACAGCGACCCCAAACATGCAGCCTCCTCAAGGTCTCCCCCACCATCCGAGTAGCGGTAGAGTCAGCCGTGGCGCTGAAGAGAAAGTTATTGTTACTCTTATGCCCGAAAAGGAGGGAGTCTTTATGTTTCAGCACCATAACTACGAAATCTCAAGCGTGAGGCGTGGTAGTAAAGTTATTCGCAGATACAGCGACTTTGTCTGGTTGTTGGATTGTCTGCACAAGAGATATCCATTCCGCATTTTGCCGCTACTTCCACCCAAGCGTGTAGGCGTAAATGGCAGTCATCTGTCCAACGATGGCGCTTTCATCGAGAAGCGAAGAAGGGGTCTAGCACGATTCTTGAACGCCCTCATTAGACATCCAGTTCTTAACCAAGAACAGCTTGTTGTCATGTTCTTGACCGTTCCCACAGTAAGTTTTTCATGTCTCGGCGTATAAGCCAACTGCTGAAGCTAATATCAGCATCAGGAACTATCCGTGTGGCGCAAGCAAGCTACTATTTCTGTTCAGGATGAATTTACCGATCGAGCACTACCACCTGGTCTAGAGGATTCTTTGCCAGCTGAACTCGAAGATCTATTTTCCCGAACACGCAGTGGCGTCAAGCGTTCCGCCGAGCTTTACATTAATGTCTGCAACATCATGGATCGTCTTGTCAAGCGAACCGAGGGTGTGGCTGCTGACCATGCTCGTATTGCCATGTCTCTGGCTTCGCTTACCGAAACGTCTGAGGATACATACTCGACAGACACCAACGAAGTTCCCTTGCTTAACGATGGACTCGTCGCCATGAGCAAGCACCTGAGAACGTGCCAGGCTTTGATGGAGGACGAGAGCCGTGGTTGGGACGAGGGTGTGCTGGAAGATCTTAAGCGCCAACGAGATGCTCTTGTAAGCGTACGAGAGTTGTTTGAACGACGGGAAAGACTTGATAAGGACAATATCCCTTACTTGGAGCGAAGAATCCAAACCAACGAGAGCAAACTTACCAGCCTGAGAGCCAAGCCAGAAAATATGGTCAAGGCTGGTGAAATCGACCGTATAGCGGAAAACATCATCAAGGTAAAATTGCCTCTTTCCAACCCATTCTGGACGGATTTTTAACAAGAAACAGGACAAGGAATCTATTGTTCAACAACACAACCGCTCGGTTTTCGTCAAGGAGTGTATCCGCGACGAGCTCAGCACTTTCCAGTCAACACAGTACCTCGTGAGCCGATGGAATCAGGACTGGGCTGGCGAGCGAGTCAAGTATGCCGAGATGCTCGCAGACAACTGGCGACGGTTGCTCGATGAACTCGAGGGCATGCCACTAGGTGACTAGAATGTGCCAGAGAGCCACCGAAGTTCATTTGAAACAGCGATTGATGCGTCTGAAGTATGGGACGAACTGCATTGGAGAGATGTCAAGTGGTAATTGAATATTTTGAGAGAAGAAGGAGAAGAAGAAGCGATGGTTGTGGTTTTGTCTTTTTTTAAGTTACTGTTTGCGTTTAAAATGTGTCGTTTTTGTATCAAGACAGGTGTGCATGGGTTGGAAGAGAGATGGGAGTCGGTGGTAGGGAGAAAGAAGCATGAAGATATGTGCTCGATACCCTTCATTCATTTTAGTTTTGAACATTATTTCCATAATAGATATCATGGCTGTTATGTATATAAAGGCCTTTACTCGATAAGGGCGTTGCACTCTACGCACAGTGGAAATATAATGGCCAAATGACCGCTTGTCATCAAATCTTCTATTATCATTTCACTTTTTTGTCTTATCCTGTCATCTACCAAGGTATCCCAACTAATCATCCATCTACCACTGATCTGTAACAGCGCCGTGTGAAGCATCGCCGACCAAGCGGGCATACTTGGCCAACACACCCCTCGTGACACGGGGCGCAGGAGGCTTCCACTCACTTCGTCGCTTCTCCATCTCCTCGTCAGTGATGTCGACATCGATTCGGTTGTTAATCGCATCGATAGTGATCTCGTCTCCATCCTTGACCAGAGCGATGGGACCTCCAACCATAGCCTCAGGCACAACGTGACCCACGATGAAGCCGTGAGAAGCACCACTGTATCGTCCGTCGGTGACAAGCGCAAGGTTGGAGAGACCAGCTCCCATGATGGCTGCGGAGGCCTTGAGCTGCTCGGGCATGCCAGGTCCACCCTTGGGACCCTCGTAGCGGACGATGACGACGAGGTTGCCGTCAGACTGCTTGATCTCGCTTCTGTTCAGGGCGTTGTTGAGCTCCTTCTCCGTGTTGAAGACGCGAGCCTTGCCGGTGAAGGACAAGCCCTCCTTTCCGGTGATCTTGGCGACAGCGCCACCAGGGGCAAAGTTGCCCTTCAGGATGCGGATGTGGCCAGAGTCCTTGATAGGGTTCTCAAGAGGACGGATGATGTCCTGGCCGGGGTCCAGACTAGGCCAGTCCGCAACATTCTCGGCGAGAGTCTTGCCGGTGATGGTCATAATGCTACCGTCAAGAAGACCACGGGCAACGAGCATCTTGATGACGGAAGGGGTACCACCAACCTTGTAAAGATCCTCCATGTAGTACTTTCCACTGGGGGCGAGATCGGCGAGGAAAGGGGTGCGGTCACTGGCGCGCTGAATGTCGTCAATGGTCAGGGGAACATCGGCGGTGTTAGCCATGGCGAGGAAGTGAAGAACACCGTTTGTCGAACCACCAAGAATCATGGTCAGAACGAGGGCGTTCTCAAAGGAGGCACGGGTCATGATATCGCGAGGACGAAGGTCCTTCTCCATGGTAGTGCGGATGACCTGGGCAGCACGCTCACACTCGCGACGCTTCTCAGGAGATTCGGCAGGATACGATGATGAACCAGGAAGAGTAAGACCCATGGCCTCGATAGCAGTAGCCATGGTGTTGGCTGTGTACATACCACCACATGCTCCAGCGCCGGGACAAGCATGCTTCTCGATATCGTCCATGACGTCGGAGCTCTCGCGACCAGGTTCACCAGGGTTCGTCTTGGCGTGCAGACGGCCGTAGTTGAAAGCACCTGAGGCCTCGTAGCAGGTGCTGATGTTGATAGGCTTCTCAAGGAGATTAGAGTGGCCCTTGCGGATTGTGCCGCCGTAAATCATGATGAAAGGACGGTTGT